AAGTTCTCCTGAAGTTGTGTTGGTCTCGGAATTAATCCTTGGCTGCTTGTAGATTTTTGGTTCTTTGGGCTAGTTGCTCTGTTTGTTTTACTGGTTTCTTGTTCAGAATTTTCTTCTATCCTAATTTGAATCGTAAATCATAGTTAGGCGGTTCTCTTGCTTGTTGGTTCATGAGAATTTCTTTTTTGTTATTAGTCCAATTGGAGTTTGCCCTGCTCCTTTCACATCGACTAGCTAGCCATCTGCGTCGTGTAGTATCAAAGTGGTATTATTTTAGGGTGCCTCCTGTGGCTGCTGGCCTCTACCTACCTTCGTCCATGCGGATTTCTTTTGTGGTCTTCGTTCTGTATGTGGCAGCGTGCTGATTAATTTAACTAATCAAATCAATCCCCTACTTTGTTGTGCTTATCGCTTGATCAGAAAAGAAACCATAAAGATTCGATTTTGACGCTTTTGGGTTGTAGCTTGCGTGTCCTAACTGCCCCTTTTCCTATGAAGTTTTCTTCAATTCTGCCATATCACTTTGCTTAGTTGGGCTGTCAAGCACAAGTGTCCTTATCAAATCCCTGCTTGCTTTTTTCAAACCATTTAAACTCTTTCAATATGTGAAATTGAAATGAGGTGCCTGGTCAAACTTAAGTTCATCCTTGTGGGTGTTGTCATAGTTCTGATGATCAGTGGACAGTGGACTGTAATGTAGTTAAATGTTATTCTTTCATATGACTATGGTACAAACCATTCATCCTTAAGTTTCTTATATGTTTGCACATGAAGAATTTTCTACAAAATCAGCAAACAGTTGTGGAAGAAACGAGTTTACTGTAGACGAACAAGTATGTCTAGCAGACAAGGCTGTAGTTTATTATTTTATTTTGTATGGTTTACAAGAATTCTGCACCGTATTTGAAGTTCTTTAAATCCATATAAGATTGGTGAGTGTCTTATAAAAAATAGTTGTACTTGTAAGGCCAAAGGATTACTAGACTAATTCCTAAACTCGTTGCATTGTACAACAAGAAAAGGCCAATGGTCTGGAAATTCAGATCGATTGTGCAGGTTTGCCTTGTCAAAAAAATTCTGGCTTCCTTATTAAAATTTGGTAATGCAGCTTGCAAGCCTCCTTCTGACAAAGTCGCTGTCACACACATTCTTCCTGTGATAGAACATAACAGCTCATTTGATTGCCTAGCGTATGGTGTTTCTGACAACTATGCTTTAAGCTATTTGCTTGCCAAATGGTAGAGGAATCACTTTTGGTTGGTTCTTGTCCTCTGCTTCCTCTTATTTTCCTTGAGCCTAAGAGATGGTCTAGGAATAATCACTTTAGCACCACACATCGTCATGACTAACTGTGCTGTTGTTATTTTTTCTTATTAGCACCTTGCCAACTCAGTTTTAGTATAACATGCAGCAACAGAAAGCTTCCAATCGTGATTTCATAATCTTTGCTTCAATTTTGGGAAATTTCTTGCTTCAAGCATCTATTAGGTTGGATTTTCAGTCACAATAAAGAAATCCATCATATACTACTTGCCAAAAATAGGCAGGTTCACTGTTTTCATGGTTTTCTTTAGTCCAAACTAAAGCATGGAGTATTTTACTATTTTTATGCTGAGCATAGTTATGCAGTAATCATTTACCAAATGTTCTTGTCATCTTGATCCATGTTTGCATAACACCTTGTGTCCTGCTTTTTCAGGAACATCATATACAAACAAAACATGGACCTGTATCTGTTGCTGTGTATGGTGACCATGATAAGCATGCCCTTATTACTTATCCAGATGTTGCTTTGAACCGTAAGTTTCACTATTACAACTGAATGGATAGTGTCAGTAACTGTTTTAAATGTGCACCTGTGCAGCGTACCGTCTATGGCTCTATCCACTACACTGTATTATATAAGAATTTCACAATACAGAGGCTTATGTTTGTTATTGTTGATCAGATATGTCTTGCTTCCAAGGACTACTATTCTGCCCGGAGGCTGCCTCACTGCTGCTCCATAATTTTTGCATTTACCATATAAGCCCCCCTGGACATGAGGTTTTTTTAGTAGACTTTGTTCTTACAATGAAGTTTTTGCCCTTTGCATTTATCTTGCTATGATGCATCAGCAAATTTTCTATCTATTTTGTAATACTCATATGCTTTATTGTCCTTTACAACAATTGTGCAGTTAGGAGCCACTCCGATTTTACCAAACAGTCCTGTGGCATCAGTTGATGAGTTAGCGGATCAGGTTGCAGAAGTACTTGATTTCTTTGGGTACATATTCTCAGATATATTTTTTTTGGTGATATTCAGATTTTTTTTCTCACCTTCTTTGAACTAATGACTTTATGGCTTTTCCAGATTGAGTTCTGTTATGTGCTTAGGTGTCAGTGCTGGTGCATACATTCTTACTCTCTTCGCAGTATGTGTTTCTTTAGAAGTAATCTATTTTCTTCTGGTTGCACTACTAATAGTTATCTCCACCGTTTGTTGCAGACAAAGTATAGGGAGCGTGTGCTAGGTCTTATCCTCGTTTCACCTCTATGTAGAACTCCCTCATGGACTGAGTGGTTTTATAACAAGGTAGCCATTCAATATATATCCTCTAGTACTATATTTTGTCTTAAAGATAATAAAGTCTACTGTTAAATTCATCTTAATAATATGGTTGTACTGAGAAATTCATTTTCCCAGGTGATGTCGAATTTGTTGTATTATTACGGGATGTGTGACGTTGTGAAGGACTGTTTGTTGCAGCGTTACTTTGGCAAGGTAATAAGTTAAGATTAGTGTGTATGGCATGTCATTTATTTTATATTTTGTAGACCATGTGATATTGAACACTTCCGTTTGAACTTCTAATCCACAGAGAGTGCGAGGAGGCTCTGCTATACCAGAATCTGATATTATGCAGGCGTGTAGAAGTGTATGTACTTTGCAATTCTTTTTATCCTTCATCATCCACTATTATGTCTCTGTAATTTTATCTTGCTGACATAGCCTGTCTTAATTCATGAAGTTCCTAGATCAACGGCAAAGCATGAATATATGGCGGTTTATCCAAACAATCAATCAGTATGTACCCTGTTCTCGTTCAATTCCTGTATGATCAACTAGCACCTGAGCTGATGGAATCAAAATGTACGTTGTGCTGCATTGCAGGAGACATGACTTGACAGAAAGCCTGAAGCATCTGCAGTGCAGAACTCTGATATTTGTCGGTGAGAACTCGCAGTTCCACACTGAAGCTGTTCACATGACTGCAAAACTTGATAAGAGATACAGTGCTCTCGTTGAGGTATCTATTATTTACCCGATAATCTTGTATTCAAAAGTTAAATCCTTTTTTTTGGGTTGAAAGTACCGATTTCTGGTGTTTTTCACAGGTGCAAGCGTGCGGGTCCATCGTGACGGAGGAGCAGCCGCACGCGATGCTGATACCAATGGAGTACTTCCTCATGGGATACGGCTTGTTCAGGCCGAGCCATGTGAGCTCTAGCCCTCGCAGCCCTTTGAACCCGTTCTGCATATCGCCGGAGCTCCTCTCGCCCGAGAGCATGGGCGTGAAGCTGAAGCCGATCAAGACGCGGGCCAATCTCAGAGTGTAGGTACATATATGGAAGAAGAAGAAGAAGAAAAGGTTGGACGTGTGAGGGGCTTTAGGCTAACCCGGCGATCGGCAATACTGATGGCATGTCTGCCCTGATTTTGGCGTTGAAATGGGGAGAAATGTTGTAACTGTGATGTAGATATAGAGAAGAGTTTTAGGGTGGTGAGGTTGGTTGGTTGGTTGGTGGTGGGGTTCTATTCCATTGATTCGTGGTAGTATTAAACAGTTGTAAATGGTCACAGATTGTTTGTCAAAGCAAAAGGAATAATGATAATAATAAAGGGAGGCTGGTGAGGTGCTGTCCGATTAGGTGCTCCACTTCGCCTGTACCCTTGGTTTCCTTTTATGAGCTAGACTGGTGAACCATTGTTGTCTCCTGAAGCAAAGTGTTATATATTCAACCATCGTTGTCTTCTGAAGCAAACTTGCATCAAGGCCAGGGCCCAGCGCGATCCGAATTCTTGTGGCTAGGACAAAAGTTATCAGTTGTGGACTGTCAAGACCTGCCCCAAGCTCGACTGAAGTAATTAATAATTTTCATCCAGAAATTTGCAAATTTGAAAGGATTTTAGTCAAATTTACAAAATATATGTTCGACATAATGAAGATGTTGACACGTGTTGCGTTTGTCAACCTGTGGTTGGATGGTTAGGATCTAGGAGTATAGTGGTATTCCCAGCGCGGCAGCGCCCTATACTTCACACCGGTGCTTGCTTTTTAGCAATGTGTGTGGGAGGAGACGTTCCTGTCGACTAAGGTGTTTTTCATGACTTTATCAATCTCAAGATGATGTGCCGGCTTAGTCTGTCGGAGATGTTCATATGAGTAGGTGTGCATAAGTGTGTTCGTAGAGACAAATGTATATATGTATGTATGAGCGTCTGTGTCTATACTCTATACTATGTTAAAAAAATGTTGTATAGAGAGAAGAAATTTCAAGATGTTGTGTTGGCTCAATCTCTTGGAGATGCTCACAGGGATAGTGTGTGTGTAATTGCGTTCATAGGGATAAATGTATGTATACGTGTATGTATGAGCGTCTACATTTTGTGTTAAAAAAAATGATGCATAGAGAGAAGAGAGTAAAATAGTCCACAAACATAGTATGAAAATTCTATATGTCTAGGAACATGCAGTCTCTTCTATTGACAGTAAAAAATTCACAAACATAGTATAAAAATGATTCACACTTCTATTTATCTTAACATGCAGTCTCTTCACCTCATCAAACCTGCTACATCTCATGTGCTTCATTATCTGAATCCTACCTATAAAAGCCATATAGATTTTTCATTAGGCTCTAATCTCGTTGCAAGATTGTGGTTAACAATTCATTGTTTTTTGTGAATTTTTTTCATTAATTTCTTTTTTTAGGCAAATTAATTTCTGTTAAACCAACGAGGTCCATATCTCATTGTCTACGGCGTTAGGCTTTCTATAAGCCCAGCCCGTTTGCTTTTACGACTCAGGTCACCGTCTCCCTTTTACGGGCGCCCCTATTTCTCGCTTTAAGAGAGACGAAGGCTCGCATCGGCAGGAGCCACAGATGGGCCTGCCCAGCCACGCGGGAAGCAGACGGCCTTTTTATTTTATTTTTCTACTTTCTGTTCTTGATTTTGCTTTATTTCTGTACTTCTATTTATACATTAAAATAAGCCTGAGCGTATTATATTAAGTAAAAGTACGCTCCGCCCGCCGCGCGAGCCAAACAGCGACCGGTCCACGCGGTAATTAGGCCAAATCATCCACGGTGCACGCCTTCGTCCCCGGACCAGAAATCAGTCGTAACAAGCCAATGTATTGTGGTAATGGATACTGCGCCCGTGGAAGGGAAAACACTCGTAATTAATGTCTTAATCAACTACTCCCCCGTTCCTAAATATAAGTATTTTTATACACTTCAAATGGATTATACAATACGGATGTATGCAGACATATTTTAAAGTATAAATTCATTCATTTTGCTTTATATGTAGTCACTGGTTGAAATCTCTAAAAAGACTTATATTTAGGAACGGAGGGAGTATAACATGGTAATGTGTTTACAATGGCACAAATAGAGTCAGCAGTAATTCGTTGGTTAGTGCTGTGAGCCATGGAGTCACTTCGTGGCATGGTAAACAATTCTAGGCCATTACCATCATCTCCAAGCCATTTTACTGTCAATAATTAGGGACACTGCGGGACGGAGGTGGGGCATGTGTGTTCGTAACGGAAATAAAAGCTGTTACTATATCTGCTTCCAATTTACCATTGTCAGTAGATTTGCGGGAGAGAGCGCCCTGCTCTTAAGCACTCTTCAAAAACAAAAATAAAAAATATTGAACAAGTATTTAGAAAAAAAATATGGAATAAATATTAAAAATGTTGAACGAGTATTTACAAAATGTTGCATAAATATAAAAAATGTTGAATAAGTATTTGAAAATTATTGAAAAAATATTAAAAAATGTTGAACGTGTATTTAAAAAATGCTGAACAAGCTTTTGAATATGTTGAATAAGTATTAGAAATGTTGAACAAGTATTTGAAAAATGTTGAATAAGTATTAAATAATGTTGAACGGGTATTTGAAAAAATGTTATACAAATATTTATAAAATGTAGAATAAGTATTACAATGTTGAATAAGTATTTGAAAAATGTTGAATATGCGTCGGACAATGCTGTACTGGTATGCAGAAAATGATGATCACTTCTTAAAAAAATATTTTTGACATATACGAAAATGTAGAGTGAAAATGAAAACAAACATAAGAAAAAACAAAAGCAAAAACAAAAAATGGAGAAAAATGCTTAAAATGTAGATCGTATTAAAATATTTGCAGCACTACGGGATTAAGTATGTCGCACCTTAGAGGATTTCATGAGCATGGTAGTAGCGCATTGGTTTGCAGCACTATGTATCATCCCAGAGAACTAGGATTGAATCCTGTTACCTCTCCTTTTTCTTCCCATTTGTTTTAAAGTCGTGATTGGGCCAGCCGGGTAGTGTAAATCCTCAGGCGAGAAATAGCTTAGCGCCCTTTTACGGCAATCCCTATTTGACGCGCGCACGTTCGTCAAACTGGTGCGCTTTCGTTGAAGCACGCAAGCCACCACCGCAAAACGGGTGGGCCCACCCACTGGTGTTCCTAGAATCAGTTTTCTTTCTGTTTTTTCTTTCTTTTAACGGGTTTTCCCTGTTTTCTTTCTTTTTCGTTTTCTTTTTTTCTTTTTGTTTTTGTTTCTATTTTTATTTTAACCTTTTTCATTTTTATTTTTATATTTTGTTTTCAAGAAAATGTTTTGAAACCCTAAATTTTGTTCAAGGTTTTAAAATTTTGTTCACATTTAAAAAAATTGTTCACAATTCAAAATTTGTTCAGCGTGTATCATAAAAATGTGATCGTCCTCGACCGCCACTCATAAGAAAGACACTCAATAATAAATCATGTTCCAGCTCCATCGCATAACTGGAGACTATATGTGCATGCTTCGGGAATCACAAACCATAACACCAATATTCTTACTAAACCACAATCATTCACTAGTACCTCCCACATGTCACCATCTTAATATCGCAAAACTATTTCAAGGAATCAAACATATCATATTCAGTGATCCACAAGATTTATGTAGGATTTTATGACTAACCACGTGAATGACCAGTTCCTGTTGACTCTTTAAATAGATATAAGTGAAGCATGAGACAAAGAACCACACTCTATTAAATATAAGTGAAGCAAAAGAGCATTCTACAAATAACGGTTTTCCTATGTAGAGAAACAAGCATCCAAACTTCAAATGATATAAGTGAGACACATGAAGCATTCTATAAAGCCATACTCAAAAGATATAAGTGAAGTGTAAAGAGCATTCGACAATCAATCAACGACTATCTCATACCAGAATGGTGCATTGCTGAAAGAAAAATAAAATGCACGCGACACTCCAAGAATTTATGCATATCATGTGAACAAAACAAAAAACCAAAACATACCGATAATTGTCGAAGAAGAAAGATGGGATGCATTCCGGGGCATCCCCGAGCTTAAACGCTTGAGTCTACTTGAATATTTACTTGGGGTGCCTCGGGCATCCCCAAGCTTGAACTCTTGCCTCTCCTTATTCTTTATCGATATCTCCTCAATCTTCGAACACTACATCCACACAAAACATAGCCAAACTTTTTATTAGAAAGATTAGTACATATAACATCAAATCTCATCATGTCCTGTTGTAACATTATTGTATAATTATAATCAAACATTACCCATTGTATGCTATCACAATTCTATGGCTTCCAAGTCAATGGGGCTCAACATGATTTTAGACATAAGCAAATAAAGGAACTATAATAGCAATCTATGAAAACAGGACCGTCTGTAAAGATGGAGATGGTACATATACTTCTGTAACTAAAAAGATTCTAAAAAATTAGGACATGATAAACAATTTGCATTGCAGTTCTGAATTTCAGAATTTTTCCATGTTCTAGTGAATTATCAAAATTCCAACACTACAACAAAAGTTTCTGTTTTTACACAGCACACACCAAACAAGCAATTTAGACATCCTAAAGGTAAATCTTGGCACATTATTTTAATAATACAATGGATTTGTACAAGCGGATAATTATGTTTGTTGAAAAGTTTCTATAATTCAAGATTCACAAAGTTATGATGGGCATGAACAAAGTTCAAGGCATGCTCCAACTTCAACGGTGCTCGTCTTTCTTACTTTCACTTTTCTTTTTGAAAAGGTTTAAGTTCCCCTCTATATTTTATTATTTCTAAACTTTTTTAAAAGCACACAAACTAATAAAATGACTCTCTAAAACTTTCAGGTTGTCTCCCAGACAACTTTTTCTTTAAAGCCATTAAACTAGGCATATAGTGCTCAAGTAAGTGATCCACCCGGATCCCAAGGTATATCAATGCCAATTTTAGTTAACAATTATTTGTAATTTATTAGTGAGCACAAAGCAACATATATCATGTAATAACAATGTCTAACT